CACTGGAGAAGAGCCTGATGCTGGCAAAGATGGAGGGCAAGAGAAGAAGGGGACGACAGAGAATGAGGTGGCTGGATGGAGTCACTGAAGCAGTAGGTGTGAGCTTAAATGGACTCCAGAACATGGTAGAGGACAGGAAGGCCTGGAGGAACGTTGTCCATGGAGTCGCGATGGGTCGGACACGACTTCACAACTAACAACAACAAACCCTTGGGAAGAGGGAAGAAGAAAGTGTGTGTCTTTCGAGACAATTCAGTTTGAGAAGGGCTCCCAGGCAACCCAGACAGTAAAGGAGATGTTGATGCCCAAAATATGGAATTCTCTCTTTCCTTAGAGAAGATCAATTCTGACCTTGTTTTAGTATGAAAGAAATGGATCTTGGAATCAGATAGTTGCTTTTTGGGGGGGTGTACTGGCAAAGTGTTACTGGTTTAATAAAAATTACTGTTATTTTCTTTTGACAGGCAGAAGAAAAATCATGTGAGATGGGGGGGAACTAATGTGAGAAGAAAACCAATGTGATGTTGTGGTTGAAGGATTAGGCTAGAAACTGGAAGACCCTAACTTTGAGTCTTGCCTTAGGCACGGCAAACCACTTCCAAACTTTTGCCAAGAAAACAGCAGGGACTTATTCATGTGATTGCCAGGAGTCAAGATTGACTCAAAGGCACACGGATATTTTACCCCGGCAGGATCATCTTAACTGAATACTGTTAAAAGAGCTGGAAGGGACCTTGGAGGTCTTCTAGTCCAACCCTTTGCTCAAGCAGGAGATCAAGTGCAGTCCAGTCTCTTCTTAAAGGTCCATGCATTGATCTCCATCCACCTTGAGACCATTCTTCCCAACTTCATTCCATCCCATAATGCTTCCTTAAACAATGCTCCCCCCAAATTACCATACAAAGTTGGGGCGAGGTCTGTTTTACCAGACTGTTCCTGGAAAAAAAACACCAGGTCTTTTTACAGGTCTGTTCCAAGCTGCAAACAACTTAACTACGTTTTGTTTTAAAAAATCCATTTCACTTTTAATGTGAATTAAAGTTTCCATGCTCTGCTTTTATTTAAGTTTTACTCTATTCTGTCTTGGGGAGGGGAGGGGAGGGGGGGCTTCAAGCCAGTGTTGCCTCTTGGTGACTGCCTGGACAAGTCCCTACAGTTTTCTTGGTAAGGTTTTTTTTTTAAAGAAATTTGGTCTTGCCTCCTTCCTAGGGCTCAGTAACTTTACCCAGCTTAAGGCAGGACTAGAACTCAGTGTCTCCAGGTTTCTAGCCTGGTGCCTTGAACCACAACACCGAACTGTCTGGTGCTGCGTTTATTATTGTGTAAACACCGCTCTGAGGAGAAATACATGGGTTAGAAACACTTGAAATGAATGAAACATCTGTTCTGAATAATCTGCATTGTTTATTCATTGTGTTTGTTTAACTTGGTTTTTTGTTGTTGTTGTTGTTGTTGTTTCTTTTTTCTTTTTTTCAAGTCGCTTTGAATTTATAGTGTGAAGGAAAATGAAGAACGTGTTACGAATGTAGGGTAGTGCCAGACTGGCTC